CCAAACCTATATTCCCACTTATTCCACTTGTGGCAAACATATTCATCTTAGCCGCCGATGAGATCCCGTCCGAAGACACATTATCACCTCCAGCAGGACCCAGCGACATCTACCACAAAATACATCACCACAAAATCAGAGAGAAAAATTTTCCCACTTTTTGTTGCTGCACAAAGACCATCAGCGTTGAGTACTGATTTGCGAGCTGCTCAACAACTTGCTGGATCGACGCCATTTCATCAGCCAATTCCACAAAATTCGGAGGTTCACCTTACACGGCGTTGAGGAAATGCAAGATAGCAAGATTTCCCTTACCTTCTCCCTCGGGTATTTCTCCTGAGGCGATATTCACCGCTTGAATGACATCCTCCAAAATGGCTGCCATAGACTCTCCCTGCTCAGCAGTCAACGCCATATTTTGCCCTAAAAAATTTCAATGTAAAAACCCATCCCATGTGTTGATGACATTTTTGAAAATTCTGGGAGGAAAATTTAGGAATTTCTCATTAGTTTCTATACACATCTACAAACATATATTCCTCCAGCACTTACCACCAACCGAATCGATCATAACATTAGCTCGCTGGGCCACTTTATTGCAGATTCTCAGCGATGAGTTCGCCGCGTCTATAACCGCACATGCACTGGACATCTCGCTCCCCAAACTCTGCAGCTGATCACACACCGGTGGTACGTGCTCTCCTGATTAGCACAGCTTCCCCATGATTTACCAAAATTACGGTATCACCCGAATTTTCCTTACAACCACCAACTGTTGATGACAGCGACTCCAACAGACACTCAATAGGCTCGGCGATAGAGAGCAAAGCAGATGGACACACCTGAGAAAAGGAGTAGGAGCATTCACCCGTTTTACGTGAAGTGGCGATATTCGCGGTGATATGCAGTAGTCGTGAAAAAGTGTTTTTCATATCACTAGAGTGAAACTCCAATGTTGGAGTAGGAATATATCTTCGCCTTCCTCAGCTGAGCTCAAGAGTTTCCAAAGCTGCTTATACGAATCCGAGTAGACAACAATAACCTCCCAAAATTTCCTCACAATTTTCATATTGTCACCAACACATGTAGTTGACCATATGCATATTTTCCCACACCGACACGAACGGTGCTTTTTTCAGCGCTGGAGTGTTGACATTCTCAACCCCAAAACGACCAACTTATGATCGCCGCAATTCTGTGATACATTTTGGGGGGAAAATTGTCAACTACATGTGTTGGTGACAATATGAAAATTCTGAGAAAATTTCCTATTGGTTTCTGTACACATTTACCAAAGTGTAAACTCCTATAAACAATTTGAGAGCTCCTCAGCTCAGCGGAGCGAAGCGAGTATACACTGCAAGATTTCTGGGAGAAACTTTTCACAATTTATAAAATTACTAATTGCGTAAATATTATTTTTTACAAATTCATAAAATGCGGCTTCCTCACTTTTTTCACATCACCAAAAATTTACATTTCACCCTATAAAATCTCAGGAAATTCAAACCTCAAAACGTAGGGTTTATAAATTTGACCATCGCGAGGATCGAACCAGGGTCGTCCGCATGCCAGCCCAACACACTTTCCCCTTAGTCTTCAACTCCGTCTCCAACATATGCGTCTCTTCACTCGAGCCCTTCATAACCTTTATACGGTACTCCAACTCCTTTACTTGATATTCAAACTCGGCAACAGCATCCGCTGCCGACCCTCCTCCACCGTAGCCTGCCACAACCCCCATGCATCATCCCCGCACAGGTTCGATCCCCACCCCCTGCCAATCCACTCATCAACGTTACATCCAACGTGCCAGACTTATACTGGGCGAGGTCCTCCTCAACCGATTGCTTCAGCAAATACGTTCGTATTCCTCTGAAAAATTTCCGGAAAAAATGTAAAATTTTCCCAAAATTTTCCCTCACCCTTGTCCAGACTCTCCCGCCCCCAACGTCCCTCGCTCTCCAAATTCATATAAGCCCGACCCCTCATATCTAAAGTGGGTAATCGAAAGGTCCCCGGTTCGATCCCCCCTACTCCTTATCTATTTCCACTTTAGTTGCCTCTGTACAGTGTATATGATTACCAACACCAGTGATGGCCATATGCTTAGCAAGATCGACAGTATCGCCCAGGAAAGAATAACTCGGAATTGTTCGCCCACTTCCGACGATTAAACCACCATAGCACGGCCTGGATGAGAACAAATTTCAATGTTTCCTTTATTACGCGAACTTCGTAAAAATTCACCAAAATTGCGCAAAAATTAACAAAAAAAAGAGCAAACTCCGAAAATTTTTATTCCAATGTTCGAATACACCGGAGCTTAGTGTGAAGAAAAATTAAACATATGTTGGTGATAATACGAAAACTCTGAGAAAATTTCGGCAAACTCTTCGCGGTACACTTCTACTCTATGTCGTGTACAATTAGCTTTGGAAACTCCCAAGCTCAGCTGATGATGACAGCAAACATATATTCCAACTCTAAATATGCTACTCCCATCCAACCCAAAGACTCACCCGGTAGCAACTCCCATCAGAAATTCAACACTTTTCCCCGCAACTTTGATGTTAGACTGATTCAGGCCTTCCAGAACGTCCTTCGCATAAGTAAGGATATTCTCAACATGGTCTTCTTGTCGGTCGTGACCACACACCACGAGCACTCCCGAACCATCCATTTCCACCTAGATGTCAGGGATAAGAAAAAAAAATTTCGTGGCGGGAAAATTTTACCCGAAAAACGTCGTGTGGCTTCAGGAAAATATCGAAAACTGTGGTCATTTTATTAAGGAGAACACAGAGTTGGGAGATGGGCACGATTTCTTGAATGATATCGAACTCCTTCATCATACCATACAGAAATGTCACACTCTCGAACTTGTTGGCCACCAGACTGCCTTCACCTGAGTAAAAATGCCCTCACCCAGGATCGAACCCGGGACCTTTTCCTACTTCTTTTCACGCTTTCCAAAACATTCCGTGGTAGCGTTCGTTGCATCATCTCTCTGTTCACCTTGCGTTCATAGTTAATGTCATCCATCAGCTTGCGGACCACTAGGGAATGAATCTAACAAAAAAATACCTCCACCAGGAATAGAACCCACGACCATGCCCATGAGAGCACGACCCACTACCCACCCGAGCACTGAGCTCTTCCTTCTCAGCGTCTCTCAACACCACATCATTCGCAAAGTGCTTCAAAGCCTCCATCCTACCACTGTTAGTCACCTCATTCGTCACTATGATCTAAAATAAAATATCCCCTCACCAGGGATCGAACCCTAGACCTTTCCCTACCACGGGTAACGACAACTGGAACTCCCGTCGGACTATATTGACTACTTCATACCCCGTCATCCCACCAATCGACTGCTTCGTCATGCCCCCCGACACCAGCAGTATATCCGGCAACGCGCAGCTCTCCAAAGTTTCGATACAATCATACCCGTCTAGACTCCTCTTGTACTCAAATCCTGCATCCTCTGCGCACAGTAAAGATTCTATGTAAAAAGCGCGCGCCCGAAATTCATGACCTACTGTCTAGAACCTTCTCGAGAACTTCATGATTTTTCACAACGTCATCGCAACTAAGGATGGTGATTGCTCCCGCCTCCGCGAGCCTCCTCTGAGCTTCTTCTTGAAGAGTAACCTCGCCGAACTCGTCCTCAACATCACCGTCGCTTGCAGCTGAACCGTTAAGTCGCCGATTCATCATACTAACGACCCCGGTTCGATCCTCACCATCGGCAGAATTTTCATCCGCTTCCGTTGTTGCTGCCAGCAGCCCCTTCGTGGGAACCGACGATTGCCTCTTAAACATCCTAGCATCTAAAACGACGAGCTCTTCCCTATTCGAAATCGAAACTCTCGAGGGAAAATACGCGCAAGTGTTGGTGACAATAGGAAAATTTTGGAAAATTCTCCTTAGTTTCTGTATACTTCTACCCAAATTCTAAGGAAAATCCTGAGCTCAGCCGAGGAAAGCAACTATAAATTCTTCAAACACGTTTTCTCACTTTCCATCTGTGCCGTCTGGAACACCGTAGACGCGCCCATCTTGGTGCCCCCCTCTTGAGCGTTGCCAGCCATTTTAACTTCGTCTGCGATGCGCTGGGGCAGTCGAACGTAAAATTGAGATCCTGAAAGTCACTGGTAACAGCAGTGTATGAATATATGTATATGAAAATTCTGAAAAATTCTCAACACTTCTACCCAAATTCGTAAATGTGAAATTCTTTAATGAGGAAACTCCTGAGCCCAGCTGAAGCTATATGAACAAATCTCCGGAAAATTCTCAACACTCCTACCCAAACTCGTAAATGTAAAATTCTATAACTAGTGCTAAAACTCTTGAGCTCAGCTGAAGAGAGCAACCACAAACTCCAATACTAGATAACATAAATTTGAAAATTGGGAGGTCGAACACAACCCACCTTTTCCTAGCTCCGATTCCACCCATATCTTTCCACCGTGGAGCTCGGACACCTTCGTGCATATCGCCAAACCGAGACCCTGAAATTTCAACCCAGTTTTCACCCGTCAACTACATGTGTTAGTGACAATATTAAAATTCCAGGAAATTCTCGCTGCTTTTCGAATACGTTGCTCAAGTTCATAACTAACGAGGGGTCGTATGTGTTGGTGACAATATGGAAATGCAAATGCACTACTCGGAAATTTGTATTCGTTCATACACTCCTACCCGAATTCGTATATAAACTCCTATAATCAGCGAATATAAAAATTCTTATTCGTTTCTGTACATTCCTACTCCAAGTCGTATATAAACTCTCATAATTAGCTTTGGAAACTCCTGAGCTCCGCTGAGGAAATCAAACATATATTCCAAAACTCTCCAAATCAGATCGATTAACAACCACTTGCTGCGCTTACCAAACCACCACCCTTCCCCTCTTCCTCTTGTCCAAAAGCTTCGAAAATTTTTCCCAAATTTTCCTTTTTTATTCCCTGACCCGAGTCGGAGACACTCAATAACAGGGTGCCGGCCTCCGCTTCAAACGCAGATGCAATACGGACAAATCCTGATAAAAAATTACAGGAAAAATGCCCCCACCAGGGATCGAACCCGGGACCTACCGGATGGGGTAAATTTAAGCGCATTATTCACCAGGTTAAATATCACTTGGGAAAGTCGCTCCTTGTCACCTTCGATCAACTAAATGCGCACAGCGAAGATTTTTTTGCTGCGGGGGTATCTTTCAACCCGTGAAAGGTTCCTCACCGGAAGATCCGGATCGCATTCAATTTGCAAATCGACGGAATCTTTTTTAATTTTTTTTCCATTTTTATCAACGGCCATGTTCATCAACTCCCAAACCTCCTCGCATATCTCGTTGCAATTAACCGTCTTGGTCAAATTCAATTGCATCTTGCCATCTCGCAGTGCGCTAACGTCCATGATCATATTCACCAGTCCCACTAGTCGAACCTGTAGAGCACCCGACCATCAACCCACCCACCCAGGTTCTATCCCCGGTACCCCGCAAGAATTAATCATTTTTAAATGCTTCGTCCTTCCTTTATTCTGCTCTGTCTTAATGAGAGCGTCCGACAGACCAATAATACCATTTAGTGGGGTACCTCAAACAGACCCCATCACTAGTCTACAGTTACACACACTAAAGAGAAAATTCAACCTCCCGAGGCCCCAACTCTGGAAATTTCAAATGATTAATATTTCTCATCAGTTGCCTTCTTACGCAGTTCATGTGCGACCCCCGCGAGGAAGTCCTGTTGCTGCCTCTCCGCCATCTCGTGTTTAGTGAGGTCTTTGATATGTGCCATCAGACAGTAGTCGAGCGACCGAGGTTCTTCAGAGATGTGACTTACAATGAGCTCCACCTAAGTTATCGATTCGACAATTGTTATTAGACATTTCTAACGTACCGAAATAATGCTCCCATCTTTCTTTTTCAATTGACCTTTGATCGGCCGAACTACCTTGCAAACCGTGAATGAATTCTTCCTCCTCAAACCCTGCGACAACAGTAGGAGAAAATTTCACTCGAAACCATTTCACCTCCTTCCTGTTGGTATCAGTCTTCGACACGAAACCATCGATAAAGCTCTGATGGCTGCTTGCCAACTCATCGGGCATGAGGACCTGTTGAGATGACTGAAATTAGCGGCGCTTATTCCTGGGCAATTCTACCGCCACATTCTGACCGACCAAGTCCGAGGCGAGATGACCGGTGATGATTTCAACGGCATCATTGATGTGGATCTGAAGAAAAGCTAGATCTCACCAGAAAATATAGTTTAACGGTAGAGTAACCGCCAAACAACCAATAAGTCTCCGGTTCAATCCCACATAATACATTTTTTCACATTACATAACCACAACGTCCATGAGAATGTGCATCAGATGGTTAGACCCAAACAATCAACATTCAACAGATGTTGACTGGATAGAGTCGCTAAACGTTTCACATATGGCTCGTACAATCTACCATGCCAACCGTGTATAATTTACTTTCCACTCAAAAAAAATAATCAGCATACCCCCGATTTCGACCAGTACCCCTCCCCAACGTACAATCTTCCCACTCTTATCCGCCAACACCATCATGTCCGTCAGATTGTCCATCAGCCCTCGGACACCATCCCAGAAAGGTCCGTCAGCCGTCATTTCCAATATGCTAGATTCAGTTGCGGATGTGCGCCGTAGACGAAAATGGCTCGCCCGTAATCGATTTCAATGGCGAGCGCTTTTTACGGCGCATCTTGGAAATCTTTTGCGAGTGCGTTGTTGGTGTCTGGAAGCGCTCAGAGATCAAAGATTAATCGCTCGGTGGTGTCTACTGCATTTCCGGAGCATGTGGCCTCGCTCGAAACCTCTTCAATGGCTTCCTTGGCTAGTCCACTTGTCTGGTCCAGCGATCGCATCCAGATCCGTGTACGCGACCAAAGTCCACTTCCCAGTGGGGACTCGCCCCTTCTTGGAAAGGGGTAGAGGGAGATCACTTAACGATATGCTTTTTCCCTTCAGCATTTTTGTAATGACCAACAGCACGCCCGACCATCCCCGGAGTAGCAGCAGCACCGCCATCGATCCTCTGGTCCTCCTCGGCGCCCAACTGCTCAGCTCTGTCAGCGTCAAAGTGAGGGTCTCCACTGCTCACTGTCACTGATGCTCCCTTTCTTAGCCCGAACCTCCCGGCGGAGCCGCCGACTCTACGTCCTTGACAAGAACCGATCTCGCTCCCTACCTTATATCGGCCAAGACAGCCCACCTCCTCACGATCAAGTCGAAGCAGTCAGTCGCCCCGCCGAAGGCCCCCTACCCCAACATGGTCCCTGGAGGGGAGGGCGTCACCATCAGTCACAGCGCCGGCTTCGTATCTCTGCCGTCTTTGCCTCCCCATCCAGCGACTTGCATGCGGTGTAACGCGTCTTGGGAACTGCGACAACAGAAGACCGGTTTTATGAAGAAGACTGTCCTTCCGGTGAGCGAAGTATGAGGTCACTATCAGTGTTGACAGGTTCGTTCAGGTTTTGCGGTGTACCCGAGATAAGACGCGGAATCACGACCTCTGGCTTTACGACGGCAACTGGGTGTCTCGGTGGCAGAAACGCCGAAAATTGGGAGGAAAGGAGAAAACGCTGATTGAAGAAGCGGTGAGTTTTCGTGACGTTTTATTAGTTTGGGGTTGATTATCACTGTAGATTGCCAATGGGGAAATACCCCCGATTTTACCAAAGCGTCCAAAACCAGTCTCGGCGATTCCTACAGGCCCAGATGGGAAGGAGCGACTCGACGGCCTCCTCACGATCAAACCGAAACAGAAATTCGCCAACAGATTGTGTCTGTTGCTCGCTGATAAGACGACTCGATGCAAAGAGTGAGAGCTGCTCTTTTTTGCGTTTTTTATCGGATTTTTTTCTCTAGTTGCGACTTTTGGCTTCGCGGCGTGAAAGTGAAGCCGGACCACGACGGCAACGTCATCCATCAGGGGAAGACGTGGTGCCACTTGCACGACAAAAGTCGGAAAATTGGAGATACCCTTCGGAAATACCGTTGTTCTGGTAAGGGGATTTTTCCACTCTGTTTTGGTCAATATTCCCTTCAGAAACCGGAGAGCGTTTGATCGTTTGCCGCAACCCGTGTGGAACGTGCTTCTGGGCTGGCCTGTCGTCCGCGCCGGAAAAATACAGCACTGTTCCTCAACACGGTAGCAGATCTAGTCGCTCGAGTCGAGCGTCAGTTGACGTAGAGGGAGGGGAAGTGTCCATGGAGCAGGGAGTGATCGACCGGCACTTCGCCCCGTTCACGATGTATGAGGAGAGCCCTGCATTGCGAGGGGTGAAGTCCTCGAGAAATGTTCATGATGAAGATGCAGCTGAGGGTAGCGCGGCATCACTTGGGTGTATTTTATGTGTGTGTTCTTAGACTCGACCGGGGGACTGAAGTTGCAACGCACGACCGAAGCAGGCTTCTCCTTTGACCGTTTGTATAAGGAGCAGCTGCCGTCGGAACCCTCACTGAAGTGGGAGCCTCATCAGGTGAGCTGGGAGGATCTGCTGTGTCTACTATAGTAGTGGACCTACTAGGGCATAGTGTGGAGAGAGTGGACCTACTTCGTATCTTTAGACTTCGAACCTACTTAGTATCTTTTGAGTTTGAACCTACTTAGTATCTTTTGAGTTTGAACCTACTTTGTATCTGGACAGTTTGAACTTACTCCGTATCTTTGGAGGTTGAACCTAAGATACGTTCGGATGGATTTCACAACTGCCATGTATTCCCATTTTCACTCGGACTACCCTCGTTCAGAGTCACGGCCCCCCTAGCATGCTAAATCACTACGGATCTCTCGTCCCCGACGGCCTGGCCGCTGTTGGCGATCAAAGCCCTCGCAGCAGCATATTTAGAGTAGGGGTTAGACCTATCTCTCTACATTGTGTATCACATTCATCAGATTGATACCCCGGGCGGGTGTAGCACGCCTTCTTTCCCGAGCGACGCGTCACCGAAGCCCTCGTCTAACACGACCAAAGACCCCGTTAGTGAGTCGAAGAATCTCACATGTTTCTTTGACTTTTTTCTCCTCAGGAGCGTTCGAGGACATCATCCTAAACGGCAGCTCTTGAGAGTTCTATAATTCCTATAAAGGATTGCACAGTGCATGAGAGGGCCGAGCTCCTGATGTCTGCAGTTGTGATGCTGAACGTTGTCCTGTTGAGTTCAGAACGTCCCTGGCATAAAGTGGTTTCTACTGAAGCTTCCACGCTATAGAATCGCATGATATCGGCACAGAGGGAAGTTATTATATACACACCAAAACAACACAACTAATCTTAGAAACTTTTTTGGACGATATTCACTCGGGAATAACTCGGACCATAATCAGTACTCTACTTTCATTATACTCATTGCAAAAGCGGTTATGTGTATCGTCCTATTACTAGGCCTTCTCGGAGAAGGGGCGGAGCTCGGCATCCGGGTTCGATTCCCATGCCTGGCGTTTTTCTGCCAAAATATGTTTTTTGCACGGAAATCTACATAGTCCGGGCGGAACCCTAATTTCGTATCTTTTCTAGTATCCCCAGAGCGAGAGCTATCGAATGGTGTATAGCATGTGATCATAACCTCTCTAGATCGAGCTGGATAATTTGTACGCACGCACGCACGCACGCACAAAGTGTTAGTAAAGTGAGAGAATACGCTCCGCTCGCTCCGCAACTGGTCATATGATATGTGCCTGCAGCAACCTTCAAGCAGAGGCAAACACATGTTAACACTAGGAAATTAATTATGAACGGTTACCTGGTAGGCTCCCTTGGTCTTGTCAGGATTAGATAACTCAATAAGAGTTATCAACAAGTGGTTCTTAACTGAAGGTCAAAACAGTATCACGAAGTATACGCTAGGCTAGCAAGGGAGACAAGTATCACAAGAATTCGAGATTAACATTACCACACACAGAGGTTGGAGTTATTACGCAATAAAGTCCACACTGTGGTCTCCACAGGGCGCTGCTGTCAGTAGATGTTAGTAGTAATACTGTACACTCCTCGTATCATAATCGTAAACTCGCACTTCGTGAGAACTACTCCCGACTTTTCGATGGAAATTTTGCACCATCTGGATAGTAAGAGTATATATGTTAAATAGCAGGTGTGTAAAAGAAATTCCCGATAGATGAGGTTATGTCATATATTCGCTCTCCTCAGGGTAGTACCTCATGACGCTAGCTATGTTACAAGTGTCAGAATGTGCGTTTGCTTCCCACGGATAAGCTCAGAACTTTCACTCATATTGGTTTACTCTCCACTCAGGACGAAAATCAGGCGGTTTTTTCTCTACCTCCTGCCACACTGATTAATCAAGATACATCATGATTCTGTCGAGGCAATTATCCAACTTTGTAGATTATGAAAAACTGTTGATCGATTATCATATCATGAGGCACTTCCTCATAAATTTCTTGCTTATAACTGTGCAAACGCAACCTCAAGTTGAAATCAAGTAATGAAGTTTACTTCATACTTTCATGTTAAAACCTCGTCGACTTAAAACGCTCAGAAAAATAGTAGTAGGTCCGAGAGTGCTCGACACCCATATGGAATTATATATTGTCCACATATCAACTCAGTGACTTGAAGGACTCGCGCATGCTCGTTATGGCAGGGAGATCTCCGACAGTTGCCAGTCCCTCAGCTTCTGAGGTCTACTCAAGGTCGGTAGACGCAGTGTGGGGAGAGACAAGCCTCGGGTGCGATAGAAACGCCACCTAAAAACAACGATAATGACACGTGCTGTGTGCCTCTAACTTACAGGAAGAGGCATCCAATTACGACGATTGCCACCATCAGAATGATTGCGATGACAAGTCCGCCATTGCCGCCCGATTCACTGTCACTCGAAGTCGTCTCTCCCTGACGCCAAGCATGCAAGTAATTGACCATCGCTACTTACCGATCGTGTATCTTCTTCAGGTTGACCTTTCCCCTTTAGATCGTCGAACCCCGCTTTGTACTCGCCGGGGATTGAACCGTTACTAGCCTTTCCAACATCAGGTGTCGCAACAGCCTCCGTTGTCGTCGCAATAGTCGACGTAGAAGACGCCTCGAAGGGCCGAGTCGTAGACGAAGGACATATGCATCTACTCGTGGTCAATGCACCAGTACTAGTCGAGGAAGTTCCAGTGGTTGAGTTATCTGCGAAGACAACCGCGCTAGGCAGAGTAGCCGCTTCGGTGCTCCTGGTAGTCGAAGTAGAGCGCATCATGGTACTCGTACGAGCTGGGGTAGTAGTCGAAGACGTGCTTGTCTGTGTGGTTTCAGTAGTAGAAGTAGTCGTGGTAGTTGTAGTGGTAGTTGTAGTGGTAGTTGTAGTGGTAGTTGTAGTAGTAGTGGTAGTAGTAGGATACTTCAATTCCACCCACTCGTCCCACGAAACTTGACGGGGCGTTATCATAATCGTCTCATTAGGACATGGCCTAAAAACAACAGCAAGACATTATAATTCGTCCTGCAACGTAAACTGACCTCATCTTCAGAGTTGTATCGTGCGGAGACGTTCTATAAAAGCCCGGCATACACCAACAAGTTTGATAGCCCGCGAACCAGTTGTAGGTACACCAGGCGGGAGGACTTTCCGTGGGATACACTACGAGGAGAACACTCTAGTAGTAACCCACAGAATGCCTTACATCGAGCTCTGTGATAGATAGGGTTCTCCGCTGGGCAGTCAGATTGTAACGATGGACCATGAGGAGGAAGCAACACCGCCTTAGGAGCCTTCTCATAGCATCTGAACCAAAATGACTTCAACTCGCCCAAAAGCTACACTAGAAGCCCTACAGCCAATCACGGTTCTTCCTTCCATGATCGTTTCCCTTATCGTTCGGGTCGAGAATACAATCTGGAAGGCTCGTCAGCGACTCTCAAGCGGAATCCATCTTACTGTATTTCGTAGGAGAGTCTTCGTAGCCTCTATCATCTTGGTGCTTCTCATGTAAACGTACACATAACCTGAAATAGATCAATCTTGGCATCTCAATTGGAATCTAAACCTTGCATGAGATGACCTAATGGAAGACGTTCTATACGTACTCTCTGATCTCCTTCTTCTGAGCCCCGTAAGCAACCGCGTCCTTCCACTTCCCGTTGCATTTAAGCTTGCCCTTCTCCATCTTGCCTCTGCCGTTAGTGTAAATCTCCCACTTGAAGTCTTTGACTTCGGATTGGATTTTCGAATGCCCTAGAGAGAAAGCTCAACAACACCTTATGGAATACACATAGAGCTTACATTTAGACGTATAGTCCTTCGGCAGAATAGTGCGGCCTAAAACCGACGGCGAAAGTAGCAGGAATACTGTTGCGACGATCGGGAAGACAGCCATTGTTGAGTAATACACGTAATAGAGCGTCTGAAGAGATGCTCAGAGCATTGCGCCCAGCAGTTAGTAGTAAACACCATCTTCGTCCTTGAATGTGGCGAGTACTGCGCGACCGTTTCGCATGGATGCTGATGAAACGGTCCTCTGCAGATGAAACGGTCGCGTGCAGATGAAACGGTCGAATGCGATTCCGTTACGTTGCAGGAAGCCTGCACGTTCCACCCCCGATCATATCATGGAAGAATTATCAATCTCCCGAACTCCGGCGCAACCCTCACGCCGCGTCAGTTAGAACGCGTTTATATCACGAGCTCGACCACTCCATTTCCGTCGTTTCAATCCCTCCCAATGTGTGTGATGAACTCAGCAGAAAGAGCCGTACGCGATCTGACTGACACCAGCTGAATCCAGTCGATTCACCTCCACAAAACGCCCTGGGGAATGTGAGATATATATTGTTCATCAATGCACACAAGACTAGATATACCGATTTACGTTTTTACCGATTTACAACACCCGTCATACTGTCAGCATGGCAAGGAAGCCTAGTAACCATATCAGATATTACAAATATTATAGATATTTGCAATATCGTAAGAATTTATGGATTATCCAAGGAGTATTTTCTGTTCCGGATGACCCCTCGATGGAAGATGCCGGTTCCCCGTAATATTCAATCGTCCGCCTATTCGACGTAGCAGCACAATCTTAGTAAGCTCAATCTAAAAGTCGAGTTTTGGTGATAGAAAAAATATTGTTTCAAACACTTTGTAGAGGGAACACTTTGAATCCTATAATGAAGTATTGCGTTCAGTTTCTGTGTAAGTTGTCTCCTTGGCTATTGCTCCGTGTCGCAGTGCATATCTTAGCCTAGCGTCAAGTAATCCTACTATTGATCATATAGATAGATAAGCTCTTCCTATGAGTCCTCTAGTTGTGGCGTTCCCTCAATGGGAGATAAGGAAGGCGTACCGACCCTCAACACTTGCTTAGCCGTACCGAGTTTATAATGTACGAATAGTGCAATAACAAGTTGTCATCAACAACCACTGCTTGTGCGATACAACTTACTTATAACATACATGAGAGGGATCATAGTCAGTTAGTGCCAACGGCGTTGTGACGACTCTGTGATGACACTTTTCTTGCTAGGCTAGGCTTTCTCAAATTTGATACCATTATGACGGTTTTTCAATATCCTTTGAGTCAACGAAACACCGTCTGATCTCACGTAGAACGTAAGATTAATAACAGCTTAAAAAGTCTAGGGAAGTTCAATCGTAGCAGACTAGCATACTAGCTTGACGCTAGATACACAGCTACATCACAATTATAAGACAACTATGGACTCCATAGTATGGAGGACAATCTTTTGTGTCATCGAGTGACTACAACATTCTAACTACTCATTATCAAGATCCGCTGAAACCAGCACACCATTTGCAGTATCAACACAATTGGCCAACCCATTTGCGCTCTCCCACTATTCAGCTGTCTCACTACTCAGCTAAGCTGTGATTTTACTGCTAATACATCCTAAGCTATTCTCCTACATAATACACATATCCTCCCTGTTGAGCTGATATCCCACATTGTAGTGGGACGACACCATCGAGCGAGCTCTAAAAGACCCACATGCGAAAGTTGGTGGTCGGGACAGTGAGGCGGACAGCTGGTTGGTTGTCTTGTTGGTGATGATAATATACAGAAGTGAGCGAAGTTACCATCGACACACTCACCAGCGAACAAGATGATTCCGACCGGATTGATATTGTTGGAAAACTAGAGCACAAGGATAGATAGGACTCAGCCGTTTCATACACATCACCATTTATATTAGGCATGAGAAAGCAGAGCAAGGAAGGAGAAAATCGCAGGGCTTCTCGATAGAGTATAAGGAACTGATATAACCAGCTTTCCGACGACGACGACGACGACCCCAACGTATATCAACAGTAACTATACGGTTGTCGGTCTCATTAGCCTCAATACTAGTCGATGTCGGGCAGAGAATAGGTTGGGGAGTCCGGTAGGCCTGACGATATTCGACCAACACAACCTTACTAAAATTAACTCAGAAATCCGAATAACAATTATTGATCGTATAACCGCTGTCTGCTACAGAATAAGATACCAAATCATGCAAACGAGGATCTCGATCAACTCCATTAATAGACCTTTTCCAAAGCTGCGTTGTCACAATATTTCCTCAAACATGCGCCTCTTCACGAACAGTAGCTTCCTCGAAAATCGCTTCTCCGTTACCATTGGGAGCTCCTTCGTCATCATCACTGTCAGTGGTCTCAGCCATAATGGCATCAACTGATGAAAGACAAACCAATTAAAAAATCCCATAGTTTTTCTGAAATCTATGAAATTCCAAAATCCGCAATTTCGAACGGTTTTCTCTCCAGAAAAATCCTAAATTCCTAAAGCTCACGAGAAAAACTGCTCGTTATTTATCCCAATCAGTCAAATATTTTTGTCTAATACCACACCTTCGAAACATCTTACTCGTGACTCGCTCTACCACGGTTAACACAGGAGCTCCACCGGCTTGCCCTTCAGCCTCAGCAACCCCAGGACCATCCGATTTAGCTTCACCGCTAGGTTCTGATAAAGACCTCTACAATAGACGGCTCATTTACCACCAATTTCAAGGCTTTTCAAAATTTCTGGAGAATTCTAAAATTTTCCCAAAGTTTTACCAACGTTCATCTCAGAAGATGTCTCCTTCGTCTGAGCCTCACCACCTAAGATACAAAACTTGTCCCATGAGCCTTTCCCAAATGAAGGTAGTCACCTTCCACCGCTTCTTTGGAAGACTCCGAAGCTTTATCTACTCCTTTCCTCGACGGCGCCGATCTACTGCTCCTCGGTACTATCAAATGAGCTTGTTTCTGTCTGCACTGTCTGCATTGTAAAAAGCGCACGCCCATCCGATCGATCCGTACATCAACCTTCACTACTCTAATTCCGAAGGCTCGACGCCCGTCAGGTTCGCGATGGGTTCCCAGGTGTTCTCAGCCGGGGGATAATCCTTCCATTTTACCAGGAATTCTTCTTCTGAGAAAATTCGCAAACCTTACTCATCGCTCCGCTAGGGAATTAGCACACATATATTTTTTCCAAATTTTCCATGCATAAAACCAGCTAACATCCACTAAATTCTCGATACTAAAAAATTAATCGTTCATAACGGCTGCGGGTCCGATTTCTGACACATGCATTTTCCGCTCGCGAACAGTTACGGAGCTCCTACCAATATACGACATGAGAGTATTTCATTATTTTCCGCGGAAAACGAACTATGCTGTTCCGAAAGCTTTGAAAGCTCCACTAGTTTAACTATAGAGAATTGATTTGGACGAACGCACGCACTGACAAGGCATGAAGTACCAGTGGAGTTTCACCCTAGTGATATGAAAAACACTAGTGAAAAACGTATTTCACGACTACTGCGTAGCGCGAATCTCGCGTTTTTCACAGAGTATTACGCCACTTCACGTGAAACGGGTGAAACTCCAGTATATGATCAGCTCGCTCCGATGTAATCCAAAAACGTCCGATCACTCCCCATATTATTTTTGTCATAAAATGTGACCAAAACACGCAAAATGCAGGATTTTTTTTTGGAAAAGCGTAAAAAATAATTTTTCCTCCCTAATTTTTTTCCCAATAAACTCCTCTACACACTCCTTTTACTACTTTTTCCAACGATACGAACGTCCAACAGACATTCCACTTCGTATTCCGCATCCTCATCCTCGTCAGCGTCCTCATCTGCCAAATCTTGCGCCTCCGCTTTTCTAGCCGCGTTGTTGCGATATATGTAGTTCTTACGATAATTCCTGATAGTGTAAGACACCAAATGTAATATTTCCAGACCTCGAAAATATCTTACTTCAGTTTACTAATAGCAGTCTGATTTCCAGCAACGTTGTCAAGACGTATCCACCAATTCTCCAGCGGACCAGCACTGCCGATTTTCCCAGTTATAAGATACTCTTCTTCACGGTCACCGACGCGATAATCGCTCACAGTGTGTACCGTTTTAACCGCGATTTCCTTCGACAAAAGCGGGAAATTCGCTTTGGCGTCGCTTGGTGGTGGCGAAGTCACCGACTGAAAAATGCGATAATAATATAACTTCTACATACTATGACGATCATATTTGAACCAACGTTTAATAATCATATCAATTTAGACAAACTTCTCTCTTAATACCCACATTTTTATCATCTCTTGCTGTTTCCTCTGTAGCCGTCCTTTTCGGCGGATTGGCTTCGGTCGGGGTGGTGAGCCCGCGACGTTTCTTGGGCGAGATCTTCTTCTCCTCACCTATCTCGAATCACGGACGCTTGAGGCAAAATGAATAGGGCAAAAAGCACTACGTTGCTTTTCTCCCTTCTCCTTGGCCGCTTTCGCCCGTTGAGATGCACACGTGCCGAGGAACCACTTGGAGGCTTCAATGTACGCCTAAAATCGTCACCGCGCCACAAAATTACACCTCGGTGAAGAAAATATCATAAATAGATCGCTTGTGATGTGAGATGCAAAATAAGTAATCGGTGAATCAGCGGTTGTCTTCCACAGAGAGAAAAATTCGAATGCCAATAAAATCGGTTTTCGATATTTTCTGCAAATAATCGTAGACTCGGAAATCTTCACCCCGACGTACTACCTGCTCAAAAGGATATTTAGGCACGCTGATGCCAGCAAGAGCTCCGCCCAACTGCTCTTCAACAACGGGAGTTTCAGCAACTTTGTTGGGGAGGGGAAAGATGTTGATCGTATTTCCGAACTTCGCAATCCATTCGTTCGAGTCGAAGTCGAAGGTAACCCCAACAGCCAGCTGAAAAGCATCTTTCACACGCTGCGGGACCTAAGATACTCCCACTACCTGAGCGATATCGTCGACGCGCTCTCTGAAGGAAGCCATCAGGAGTTAACAAGAGAAGACGAAGGGAGAAACCCTGTTACACGCATACGCAACTCCAAAGTAGATCTGGCAACTTGTTGTTGTACTCCATCGGGTGAGCATAGTTACAGATGAGTGACGCCGCCACCCATCTGTAATGGTCCCGAATATGACCATTCCAGTTTAACATACGATCGCTCATCGCAATATCTAAGACTTGTAGTCAACAAACTGTTGAAGCTTCAGCCTGAAACATTACTTATGCGGTTCCGCGAGCGTCTGGACTGTTGTCCATGCGTTCCAAAGCATGGTGAGCAGAGTGTCCAGGACCCAAACCCAAACCAGACTCGGTTGACTTCTCATACCGCCTCTCACGAACCTTACGAGAGGCATAAACCCTGACCTTAGCAATCCTAGACACGGATATAGGATCGTCAGTTTAATATCCACCATAGTATTAGAGTTCTTACCACTCCTAGTCAATACCAAAAATAACCTATTGAACTCAATATCTGTCGCTTGACAAATACCATATACTACCCCTCAGCTATTGATGGAAGCGTAGCCACTAGCGGGTATACAATGATGAAACCGTATACCTTAGACCCTGTGCTCCAAGGGAAAATTCAGAGAATCAACTTCAGAACCAACCTTAAAACCTAACGCGTGGGGCGCCTGCGTTCACGCAGGAATAATATACAACACGCATACACGGACCACGATTCGCACAAAGCAATATAACAGCCGTAGCACAGTAGAACCGTAACAAAATGATATCATACTAACGGTATGGCATGATCTTAGTTAGCAGGGCTCCGTACTCTGCGCTGAACCGCACATACTCCCCGGAAGACTGAATATAAAAATTTGCCTGAGAAAAACTAAGCTCCTCGAATGAGAGATTATATTATTTTGTGTTTGTGAATCACAAACAAAAATTGTACAACGAGATTCACTCATCCTTGGCATCGATGGACATAACCTCACGAGCGAGCAATTAACCCTACTAAGTTGGCCTTACCCAGAACGGTATCATCCACGGCCGACATACTTCATTGACGCCAGGGAATCCCTCAACAACTTGAGTATTCGAGTGCCCACACGATCGGAGAGTCCGATCAATCTTCTAGGATCGCCTTTCACATGTTGAAATCAATTCTGAAACCGGCGATAAGGGGTCGGGAACTCAGTTGTGTACGCGTATATACGACAATTCACGTCATCATTGGGCGGAGCGAAGCGGCGCATGTTCTCAACTTTGATAAACTGGAGAGAACCCAAGTTTCCTCTTAGGTTGATTTATGCGAGATGCGGGGTAGGTCCAGGAATGTATTACTCAGACCTTCATGTGAGTTGGAACTACGGAAATCTTGGGTTGACTCGTGCAAGATGCGGATCAGGTTCAAAGGACGCTCGGGAGTATCTTAGGTCGACCCAGGCATGATACAAAATAGGTCCATCAGTTGGATTCATGGTTTCCCCTGCCCTCTCCTCAACATGGCCAGGCATGCTCCCCTCCCTCTCCATCTCGACCATCAGCCGCATCAACCCCCGTTCCGTTTTCGCCCTCTACATCGTTTCTCGAGACGGTTCTCTTCTCTACGACTATGAGTCCCTTACTGCTGAGCAACGCCCCTCAGCCAACGATAAGATACGTTGGAGTAGCACCTTCCACACACTATCAGCGATAGCGGCTAGCCTCTCCCCAGTAGGTTGTCCCTTCACAAGGCTAGTAATAACTCCTTTTCTCTCAGACCCTACCAGCATCAGGTCACGGTTCGGCTGGTGGGGGCGGATCTCGACTGGGCTACCTCAACCCACGAGGAATCAAGACGATACGCGGCGCTGCATATAGTGTGCACTGCATGACGGTTATCTCGGGTGATGATAATAAGCAGTGTTGGAATATATGTTTGCTTTCCTCAGCTGAGCTCGGGCTTAGGGTAGAAATGTACAAAACACAACAAGAATTTCCCGAAATTTCCTCAGAATTTTCCATATTTTCACCACTACACGTATTTGACCATGTGTATATTTTCCCGCGCTGATGAAAATAATTGCTCTTCCTGGAAAATTTCCCACTCTTTTTTCTACTGCGAGATGAGGAAATCATTTGGAGTGACTAAGAAAAATGCGGTAAACCCATACCATCGTTACTACGAACCATTCATAAGGCAACTCCCATCAGCTGCGTTATCATTTGAGAAATTGTTCCCTAGGGGCAGCGCGATACGACCGGAGAGTTAACGATGAAGATTTTCCGTTGAAATTAAACACTTGGTGATTATAATAGAGTTTCACCCTAGTGATATGAAAAACACCAGTGAAAAACACATTTCACGACTACTGCATATCACCGCGAATATCGCGTTTTTCACCAAGTTTTACGCCACTTCACGTAAAACGGGAAAAACTTCAATATATTGAGATCACATAGTGTTGTATGATCCCTGAGAAATGTGAAAAATTATATTTTTCATCGACTTGAGAGCGGCTTTCGAAAAAGATTAAAAAAAACTCTTTTTTTTATTTTTTGTTGAAAATTTCATTTTGAGATTTTTTTTCTTATTCAATTCGAGCGACGACTTTAAGACACCCGTGCGCAGGTACTAAAGCCTTCGCCGTTTGCGCGCCGTCCTTCCCTGAAAGTGTTGCACAAGAGCTACTTGCGCAAATGTACTATTTAATTCTACCAAAATCGTACCACACTTTCCTCAGTTTCTTTTACTTTTGCGACTATGTGATGAAAAATCCTTTTTACGAGCTGGGAATGCCCGCGCGGTGTAAGCAGTTCGACGATCGAGTGCAACAACTTTTGGGAAAGTAAGTGGATGATTTTTTTCTCATCTCAATTGATTTTCCAGGTATAAATAGTGGAGATGATTTTGTTACTATTTCTCATGCTATGCAGTGTTGCGTTTCTGTCAAACGATTTATCAATTCCGGAATTTTTCTCCCACTTTTTAATATGTTCTTTACAACAACACCGAACTTGCTTCGATCAATGTTTCTGCCGTACTTTTCCAAGAAAACTGGGTTGGTGTTTGAATGCACTTCCGGAGCTGATTTCAATTTTCAGTGCTCCTCGACTGCGACTACAGTTGATGGGAAAAAAGGGGAGGAGGTTCTATCGAATGGTGGCTTGTAATCAGAAAGACCCTCGAAACGGCAAGCATATGGAGGTATTATCAGAAAATCGGGGGAAAAACTGGGGAATTTCGGAAAATTTCGGAAAATGTGTATTTTTCGTTTAAAGCTTCTTCGAAAAGACCCTCGAAATGGCAGTCATATGGAGGTATTATTGGAAAATCGGGGAAAAATCTAGAAACTTTAGGAAAAATTTCGGAAAATGTGTATTTTCCATCTTAAGGCTGTCTGAAGAGACCCTCGAAACGGCAAACATATGGAGGTATTATCAGGAAAATCGGGGAAAATTTCGGAAAAATTTCGGAAAAATGTGTATTTTCCATCTAGAGCTTGCTCGAAAATAGAGGTTTATGCGTTCTGGAAAAAGAACTTCACAGTAGGGCTCATTCGCATTACAAGAGGAGTCGAATTACATGACAAGTTCATAAACAAATTTTGTTCATGTCATGAAATGACCTTGCAGTGTTGTTGTGTAGTAGCATACCAAAGGCAACCTCGTTTGTATCTTTGTGAGGGCAACCTAAGATACCATTGATGAACCAGTTGTGTCACTATTTTGTTCAGGTGCTCGGTAGCTTCGCGCCAAAGGTGAAGTCGGGGGTAAAGGAAATTCGCCTTCGATTTTCACGATCGAAATTTTGGCTCGGCGTTGGAGCTTCGATGAGTCCCCAGGTTGAGTGAGTTTTCATTGTGGTCATGTTTTGGGCCTATTTTGAATCTTTGTAGACACATCCTCGCGCTATCCAATTTGATACCGGCTCCACCACCAGCGTATGGGCGACGGACGAAAGGTGCAAACCTCATTTGCGCATGCGTGCAAAATGATTCTTTCCAGGACACTATGAGTTATTAGAACAGGTTATGGTAGAAAGGCAGAAGGCTCATAAGGCGGCTATTGAGGTGGGGTCGTGTACGCGTTGTCGGAGGAAAATTTTGCGAATTATTTTTGGTTTATTATAGCGAGTCATGTGTAAATTTCCATAGTGTAGCTTTGGAAACTTCGAGGCTCAGCTGAGGAAAACGAACTGATGACGCTACCCTATCTCAATCGCGAGAATGCCGACCATAATTTTCGGTGCCACCTCGATTCGGTGATATTTCCAACACTACTACGTGAATGCGCATAAAAATGGTCAGTGTGGGACAACGTGCACATGATCAACCACAGATGTTGGTTACGATATGTTGATGGTTACTGTATATTTCTACTCGCAAACTCTTATAATTAGTGAGCTCAGCTGAGGAAAGCAAAGATATATTTCTCCAACACTGAAAGAGTTTCAGGTGTTCAACAAGTTGGGACGCCAGCAAAAAGTTGTCTTTACTTGATTGGACATGGTCGTTGGTCATTTTTGTTTCCGATCATTTTTCGGAAAATTGTGTTTACATAATTCAGCCTTTTTTCATTAATGCTACTTCATCGGAATTTTACAGCTTTTCGTGGCATTGCATTTTAGTCGCAAATGTTGATGAATTCCCACCAGAATGAGAATTCGCCTTTCACGCCCATTTGCGGTGTGTTTATGTCGTACTACAAACTAAACGGTAGCTAATGAAGCTAGGATAACAGAGAACTAAAGAAGAGAAAATCGGAGTTTCACCCGTTTTACGCGAAGTGGCGTAATACTCCATGTGAAAAACGTGATATTCACTGCTCACATGCGTTTTTCGCGAAGTGAAATGTGAAATGTGCCTTTCACATCACGGGTGAAACTACATTGTTTTAGCTGGAGAGCTTACCGATTGGATTCGGGACAGGGGTTGTGCAATAATATAAATTTCAGGAGGTTGAAGCACTGTGTGATTTCAAATGCGAAATAAAATGGAGTAGTAAAATAGTGCACATCTGAGATTAATTGTAACATCACAGGAAACGGTGTACTGCAACGTCAGCGTTTTGACCAACGGGAATCGTCTTCTCCTCAACAGATTAATGATGCGACACTGAGTAGAGAGAAAAGCAGAAAGAATTTTGCTCATTCGCGAAAAAACGAGAACACTACTCGATCGGTTTTCGTTTTGGATCCAGACCTCGGCGTTAAATCCGGATGATTTATGGTGAGATACCGTGAATGCCGCTATTTTGCACTATTTTATACCACGTTGTTCTCTGGCTTGGCCATCGTTGAAATCGAGCAGGAATCGTTTCTAACTATTACATATCATGAACATAACGAGGATTGTCGCCACAGATTGTTTGACGTTGACCAGCTTGAGCTCCTACCGGTGAGTTTTTCTCTATGCCGTTGGTTCTCATCGAATGGAAATCTCATCAGAAGCGTCATGCAGTGAATTAAGCCGAAGGCAAGTATACTTGTGGATAGAAGTATTACATTTTATGAATACAACTCAAATAGTGCAGGTGTTATATAGCCGCGCCCCAGCGTCACGCTTTAATGACACAGCTAGAACAAAATTTGGAGACAGATATTTGTGATACAATCTCTGCACTAAACTCTGACCATGGAAAAATACCAGCGCTAATTTGCCCTCCCGTCGTTGGTTGCCATCAAAGCACTGTACAGTTAACTGTGAGCTCTAAACTGTGGAACACTGCTCTATTCCAGCTTTGTTAACATCAGCTCAGCACTGTGATAGACATGCATCATTACTTCGTTAACCCCTTCCGGAGATTACGATGGACATACATCCTTGATAGATAAGGAGAATATGATTTTTTTATTCACTTTTTGGGAAAAAAAATTTTGCGGACAATTTTACCGACAGCACCTCGCACAGACGCCTTTTTTGATGCACCCGAGGTTGGTTTATGGCGTAGTAATGGTTGCTCCTTTAGCGCCTTAGATACACCCTCCCAATTCTCAATGTTTCTCTGGATTCTTTCAGCATTGTTCTCCACAAATTCATACAACCAGTCGAAGTTCCCGCTTGAATAGCCATCAGGCGCGTTATTGGCTATGAAATTGTATATAATCCTGCACGCCATATCATTGAAATCTGCCATCCATCCAACATTTTGAAGCAGAGGACCCATTTTCTCTCCCTTCAAATGAGCGAGAGGGGAGTACGGGCCACCTTGCGAAAGCGCTTCTTCGGCATCTTGTCGTTTCGCAGTCCCGGCCGCGCCCGCTGAGATCTCGGGGTATACCCAACCGGACTCCCCCTTGCCGTATACGAAAGCCTTCACGTTCAAGCCAGCATCGTTTTCCCTAACATAAGCATAAAGATGATGATCAAAGGGGCAGCAGCAGAAGCCCGTTAGAGTGAGCTTGCTTACTCCACGATCAGGTCACGACGGTAAAAGTTCTGCTTGGAAATAGCGCTTATGTATGTGAACGCCTCTTGACCTGGGTCCAAACGAACCTCCAGATCTAGTCTTGCATTTTGTGACGGCTTGTATCCAATTCCAGATTCGGCTGGCTCCAAGGGCTCTGAGTATCCCCATTCGAGTTTGCATACTTTGCCTCCTCCTCTCCTCTCCGCACTGACTTTGGCCTGAGCAGAAGTATCAGAATCGAGCTCCTCGTTGTATCTCAAGTCCGCACGCATCGACGCAACTGCTTACAGTAGCTTTGGAGCCTCCCATATAGTCATACGGGCTCGTGTCACCGCCCTGAAGCCCGAATAAGACAAATGAACCATTAACGAGTTCATCAGATTTACACTTACATTGAATAGCTCATCAGAACCAGTGAAATGACTATAAGGTCTAGTATCAACTGGATCATTGGCGCCACCACGTGCGGGTGAGATGAAGAGCATAACCAAGGGGATACGACAAGTGATAGTCATTAGTAGAATCGATTGAGGGAAACTGCGGAGGATATCTCTAGTTGGACTAGGTGCCCCTGGTGCGCGGTGAGCCGACCAGCCTTTCATTATTGGATACATCCAACCAGTCGTCGATGAGATGGGGAGCATGCCTCGTGAGGACTATCCGATGAACCAGCCGCTGACTCGATCTCTATACATTTGCCGACGAGTAGGAAGTGTCATTCGTGCGCGAATCATTCGCCCGCGCCAAGGGAAATGAGACGCTCGAGACCAAGTACACCCCCTCACATATTCTTAGCATATCCGGTTTTTCGACTTGTGCACAGCCACCACAATGAGTATCATCTTGCGTCTCAGGGAGGTATGTACTTATGCTTTACCCGATATGACCTCCAAGTTTCAGAGCCTAACTCTTCGTAGTTAGTGAGAAGCCGAAGACGGGTAAAAAGTTCTCTCCACATATTCTTAGCATACACGTGTTAAAATTGCGCCTCAAAATACCAACTTTTACTGGGGGAGTATATCTATAACTCCGCTGCTGATCTAATGCTATACATCAACAGAAAGAGGATCATTCATAATGGTATCCCTCCATGTTTCACTCTCATAGTCTCATGTATACACTGTATACAGTATTAATAATTCCGGCTTCCGTGTCTCGCACACCTAGTGTTTGGACGCTCTTTCTGTGCGGAGCATTTGAAGCTCATCAGCGAACATCGTGCGCGTCGTTTCCCACCGGTCCGGGTGGAATCCATCGCCGCGGCTGTGACTTGTTTTGTTTTTCGATCATTCGGGATCGATTTCATTAGATGAAAAAAAACGGACCCCAACCAACTGCGAAATTCGTGGAGATACCAGTCCGGACGAGTCTCTATTGACCATCTCACATTAATCAGCAACTTGGAAAACAGCGAGAGGGTCCACTCTCGGAGAGTGACTCTCCGAACATCCGAAAATCTCTGACTGACCTGTTGTGGTCATTGATTAAACGGTTCATCGAATAAATCGTTCCGGGTACCATGAAAAACGGTTATTAGTTCTCCCTATTATTGCCCATTCGGTGGCAAAGTGTCTCCTCGGAACACTCCTTCACGAAAAAGAACGTTCCGAAATCAACCACACTCGCATGAAACAACCTTCATGATACTCAGCTCGTCAGATGAGCGTCATCTGATCGAATCGCCC